GTGTTTTTTTTTGTTTTCGTTACGCTAAACCGAGTTCACCAAAGGTTACAATCAGTTAAGTAATGGCCGACCGTTACGACGAACCGTGCTTGGTCTTCTGTTGGCTATTTCATAAAATATTTAAAATTATGTTTGGATATCAAGGTCCCAGGCAGAAATCTATGAAAAGAGGGGGGTGCTACTTTAGGAGGCAGAAAAAAAATAGGTGGTGAAGCCAGGGTCATGCCCCCTCTCGGAAAAAGATGTATGTTAACTTTTTTTTTACGTAAATGATCGGAAACTCTCCGGCCTACAAGCATGTGTGTATACATGTATATATATCATTAAATAAAGAACTCAAGATTGTTTATTTAAATAGAGGTAGCGATTTCGCAACATTACAGTTGCTTCTCAGCCAACAATGAACCATTTCGTTTTTATTATTATGTTATTAAAACACCTTTCTGTCAAACGTTTCACTTCATGAATAGCTGGTACAAGAGTATTATCAACATTGCGAAAACGCTACCGCTATTGAAATAAACACTTAATTTTGAGCTGGGGTGTGTGTATTTTATTATCTTATCTGCACGCTTAAGTGAACTTTAAAACAAACTTTACGTCTATGTATGATAAATATATATTTTTTTCGAAACGTGCTTCCTTGTCAGCCTTTTTAACAATAATTCTTATACAAAACAAAATCTGAAATCTGTTTGTTGAGTTTCGCGTAAAACTATTCCAGGGCTGTCTGCGCTCTACCTGTCTCTAATTTTGAAGTGATACACTAGAGGGAAGACTGCTAGTCAACACCGCCCACTCTTGGGCTACTTTTTACCAACAAACAGTGGGATTAACCGTCACGTTATAACGCCTCCAAGGCTAATAGAACGAGCATGTTCGGGGACGGAATTCGCGACCCTCAAATTGCGTTGTATCCACAGAAGTGACACTGTTGTTTTTTTTTCTAGATATGTTTACTACGGTTGTCAGTAGTTAATTTTTTTAATCAGTACTTTTCTTAATATCTTTCGACACTACTTACGTAAGAATAGAGAGAGATGGTGATTTTACTTCTAATTAGATAAACGTTCTATTTTTTTTACATCACGTATTTGCCATTAAACGTTTTTTTCGAAGGTCTAGAAGTAAAGACATTTACTACCACTCCACGTAAACGAAACGCTCTTGTGTTCTGCTCCCGTTTTCGGTATCAACCACACAATATTTCCTTAAAACCAATCTTCGAAGGCAATTTCTTTGAGTATGTTAGGAGGAGGTTTGGAAGGAGAAGGAACAAGGCGTATTACTGTCTTCTGTTTAGTGTGACACGAGTTAGATTTTATTTGATCAAGCTCTGTATAAAGTAAGTCTCGGAGCTCCCGAGTGAGCAAGAATCTTTCGGTAACCTTGCAGCACAATTCTCCAGCCGGTTCTTGAAACCACTCATTAGCGAAATTACATTGTAATCAGTTTGTTCTTCCTATTCAGTATTGGCAAAAGAAAAACCGTGCTCGGGCTCCTTGAAAAGAAAGCTGAAGAAATAAAGCAAAGACGCTTTTTAAGAAAGGAAATTACATTTAAGAATCCCTCGAATTGTTTATCACGTTATATGAAATCTAATTAAAGTTAAGACTTGCCTCGAAATTCCGTTTCAGAAGATTCTCGTCTACTTGACAAGGAAAACAGTTCAAAGTCTATGTTTTCCTTAACGAGATTTGTTTGTTTGTTTT